GATATCGTCAGTGATTTATAGTATATTTTATTATCTATGACCTTTGTCTGCAACAGCATGGCGTGGAGAGCCGCACATCCAGGGGTGGCACAACAAAAGGCGCTTTACTTGCACGAATACACTTCGAGAATCTATCCCACGCACCCACAAATACGAGTAATGTCAGCCAACAATGTGACTAGCAGCGTGCCTCAAATACTATTCATGCTCGGCAATCCCCCAGCTGTAATCGGTTCACCGGCGGAGATATGAATCAACATTTCAGAAAGGGCCCCAGGATGGCACCAAGGTAGAGCTGTCACAATGACAGCAGACAGCCAGGAATGCGCTGCCGCGCAGCACCTCCACAGAAAGCGCCAGCAATCCGTTTCCCTGTGCTGCCTCTGTCCCGTCTCTCTTCACGTGTCTGTCTCGGTATGTATCTCTCTGTGTTGTCTCTACATTTGTCTCCGTGTCTCTGCCTTTAGTGGCACTGGGTGGGCAGTGGTGGTCATGCTGAGAAGTTAGCAAAGGAACTGGAATTTTAATCACCACGTAAGCGCATCACAGGCAACAGCTGTAAAGCCATTAAGATGTTGTTTATTTTTATTATTTTAAAACTCCCCCTTGTGTAGATTGACAGAAGCGCATTGTATTAGAGCCGAAGGCGAAGGCGTATGCCCGTGATCCAATGCTTTGGAGGCAAGAGTTGGTGGACCATGCTGAGATTTGTGAAGCTTCCATAAACCAATGGGCTAGCTAAGAGGAGGTTGTTATCTCCCCCCCTCCCCCCGTGGGCGATAAACTCAAATGGCTAGTGGGCACCTATCAAACGCCAGCGTGGCATACAACAGGTTGATGTAGCCAAACGGTGCAGCTTTTGTCTCCCTCGTGCCAGTGTTGACAACCCATCGTGCTCATTTAAGGCTGAGTCAACCAAGGGGAAGTCCATTGGCTGGCTGAGATACTACATGCCACGATCACATTGGTTGGGAATGGAACCCACGGTTGCGGAAATTATAGCACAATGTACGAACCACCGAATCACCACTCCCAAACCCCACACGCACACACACCCACATTCCTTCCTGCCTATCGGTCTATTCGAGATGCCTAAACTTAAACATGCACAGCGAGCGCATAATCTCGGTGGCTTTGTAATGCAAACACCCGAAAAATTGATACTGTGAAAAGGAGTGGCCCCATAGATTTGAGATGGATTTTAAAAGGGCCTTGCCTCCATCCCAAACCGCTCACACGTTTAGAGGAGCAAAGGCCGAACGCGTTGTAGAATTCTACAATACTTAAACTAAACTAGAAGAATAAACTACTTTTAATTTTACCAGGTAAGGCCCACTGAGCTATGTGGCTCTTTTTCAGAAGCGACCTGGCCACAAATGATAGCTCAACGTAGTGGCTTATCATGTGGAAATTTTAAAGCAGCCAAATACTCTAAATGCATGGTAATTCTAAACGTGTCGAAAAAACGGAGGACCCGGAGAAAAATTCACACGACCACGGGGAGAACATTCAAACTCCAAATATATAGGCGTCAGGGTCAGGATCGAACCCATGACCTCGTGTATACCAGGCGAGGTAGTTAACATCACGAGGTAGGTTAACCAGCAAATCATATTCCACAAGACGAGGCATGTTAGTGTGTAACATGATTCATCAATGAAAAACCTGCCAATGGCGAACATAATCTAGCTCGATGAGACTTCCATAAGAACGTCACTACAAATAAAATGAAATGCTGGAGAGGCGTTTGGAATTCATCCCTAATGAACCATCAGCAAATTACCTCGTCAACAACCAATTCTCAGTCAAGTAGTTTTCATTATAAGAGACTATGGCCTGCTAAGGCACAGCTGGATACCGCAGCAATAGGTCTGTAAACAAGCAATGTGGTTGAAAAGTACCACGTTGTGTGTCTCGTGAGATTTTCACCATTGATTGAAAATGTTAGAATTGGCTTGGTGCTGTAATTGTTCTGCATGCAGTCGAATGATGTAGGGTTACTAGAGTCTATTAAACACACAATCGGATTGTTAGCCGTATCAGTGAGATTAATGTCTGTGTTAAATACTCAAATGGATTCCATTTGCAGGGCAGTGGTAAGCGCATTGTGGCTGTGACTCCGTCGACCTGAGTTTGAGTCTTGGCAACAACTAACATCAGTGCCAAGTAAAATCTGAACCAGACTCCTGGGCACATTCCCTTCACCAACCTGTACTGACTAGCATGGTGAAGTATGGTCACACAGTCACCATGACTTGCGGAGACCTTAAGCCAGCCCTCATCATCCGTGCCTTCCTTCAGCTACATTGGAGTCGAACAAATTTTCCCTCATGATTTTATTTCTTTAGCCAATATTACTGCTTCGTTCGATCTCAATCCTTCTATATCAGGGGTGGGGAACGTCCGGCCCACGGGCCGTATAAGGCCCCCGCAAAATCATTTGCTCTGGCCCTGCCAAGGCAACCGCAGGCAGGAATCGAAATTTAATAAATCTAGGAGCAAATCTGGAAAAGCAGTTGCGAGTAGCAACATCATCAATACCAGCCAACATCATCACACGCCTCGCCAAAGAGAAGCAGTTCCAGCTATCACATTAGGGGCGAGTTAATTAAATGTTTGACCAAATATAACAGGCTCATTTTGAAGTTGATAATTTTGTATGGCCCGCGAATGGTGTTATATAAATATCCAAATGTCCCTTGGCAGAAAAAAAAGGTTCCCCACCCCTGTTCTATATATTTCATCCAGGAGTGGATTGACAAAGAGTAGTACGTGAAAAATGCAATTAGATCATGTCAGCCTTGCAAATAGGATTCACCAAGTAATTGGCTTCTGTGTTGACAAGGCCAACGTTGTCAACGCAGAATGAGGTTCGACAGAGTTGTGTTTGTTAAAATGGGATCGGATTCCGTAGGGTCACATTCTTCGCGTTCAAACTGCACCATTTAAACGCCACACCTCTCCAAGCCCTTCCTGTTTACGTTTAGCATAGGCATGGAGAGCACAACTTCCAAAAACACCACTACCATGACCACCAACCCATATGTCAACACAAACAAGCAATGATACAAAATCTGTCTTGTGTTAGAGGTGCAGACGCCGCTGTTTAAAATGGATCAGAGTAACAGTGACAGAGGCATAGGAGAAAAGTTATTACCATTACTGTATTATTACTACTTGCCTATGAGCCAAACAACTCAGAATGTGCCCGATCTTGTCAATCTTGCAAGCTAAGTAGAGTTAAAACTGGTTAATGCTTGGATAAGTGACCGCTGGGCATACAACGGGTGTTATAGGCTGTGAGGCTGTGATATGGGTAGCAAAGCAGGGTGCAGCAAAATAAATTGTTGTACTGTACAATGTCTATGCTCCCAGCGTTCACCGACCCGCAGTGATTAGCAGGGACAAAAATAACCGCCACAAATGGCACTCCGTGAGGAATTCCTCATCCAGCAATGTACTGTGCTTTATTCTACGTGCTGTCTTTTTTACCATTTAAATAGATTCAAAATAAAATTGCATGTAAAGATTATTTATGGGCGTTAAGTGCTAAACTGGGTGAAGAAGGTAGAAACACGACATCACACAATCTCGAGGTGTAAATTCCACATTCCCCATGGCCAGATGAGTCACGATCTTAGGACAACTACTGCTAACCTTCAAACAAAGTTTGTATTTTTTTTATTAAAACTAGAAAGGTGATGGGCTCGCTGAGCCAAGCGTTGCCCAGGTGTTAACCCAAAACCATCCAGGTGTTCACAGGATGCAGCCTGTGGCGACTGAACTCTATTGGTTTTCGTTGTAAATTAACTGCACTGTAGCTTAATCCGGTTACACAGCACAAGAAAGTTGTGACCTTTATACCGGCTGACAGGTTAGACGAGAGTTCAGAAACGACGATGGTGATCACAGGCACGACGACGATGATGATGATGCGAAACGCTGAGTGATATACATTTTGCTTCGTGGTGATGAAGAACGCGGTGAAGTTGATCACAGTAAACATGATCACAGTAAACATGATAGTATCGTACTGTTGTACATGTAGATATTTATAACTCGTACAAACGGAACGGCGTCTTGAGACGCTGTACACACACCGGACGCGTGCATCACATGGGGAGGTGGCATACTTTTGCCAGCGATGGGCACTGGATGAGTAAAAATATTTTATTTACAGCAACCACTTTACTCATGAGAGGCTGACAGTCGTGATTACGGTGGCAGTGTGAGCAGACTACGGTGAAGGCGATTATGGGGGGATGTTAACTCTATTCACTGTGCTTGTAACTAGAACGACACCACTTGGTATACAGTAATACGGACTATAATAATGAACATTAATTACAACAAGATGATTACAGTGACAGCGATTCATCGGTCAGACGAATATAGCGATGATGGTGGCACTGACTCTCGCAAAGACGTTGATCTCACGAACGACAATGATCGTACCGACTAGAGACCACTAAAGAAAACAGATACTTATTGTAAATGTGGTGATGATAGAACTGACTATAGTGAAGGTAATGACAGTACTATTATAATAATTAATCGGATAGTACTATGCTCATGATACTATTATGAAGATGATAGTAATAATGTCATGTTAATGATTGCAGCGATGGTGACAGTAAACATTCTAGGGATGACAGTAGTGGTGTTGCCGACGGTGACTATGGTTATGATGGTGTTAATATTAACCATCACCGGGTAACACAAGTGATACAATTCGCCGTCACAAACAGTAGCGGGTAGGTTAAGAGGTGAGGAGGGGGAGGGGGGGATCGCCTGGAGTCGCGGCCGCTGCCGACGTCGCATCTTTCCCGGTACAACTTCTAGCCGAGCACCGGGGCTCCACTAGGCCTCTGGGGTCGGCGGGGGGGGGGGGTCCGAAGCAGCCCGGCGGCGCTCTCAGTCGGGCCGGGCCGGAGCCAGCCCTGGCTGCGGCAGCCGGCGCTGAGGAAGCGAGCAAACACGCGGCGGGCAGAGAAACTCACCCAGAAGTTCTCCACGAACTGGGGCATTGCGATGGCGACGGCGACGTCGGCGTCGGGGGGCGACAGCGGCGACCGGAGAAGACGCGGGGATTGCGGAGTAGGAGGGGCGGGGGGGGAAACTGAGATCTCGCGAGGCTACAGCGCTGGCGAGACTTGGTATTGCTCCGCCTACTTCCTGGTCCGCCTCCCTTCACGTCATCCCCCTCGAAGCCCACGCCCACTCATGCTAAACCACGCCCGTCGCTGTGGAAGCCACGCCCACTGACACATAGCCAAGCCTACTCACACTAAACCCCGCCCACTATATTCTTGGTTCTTTCGGTAAAGTCACGTAAAAGGGAAATAATAAAATTATAAAAATATAAAACAATAAAATTCTCACGACGTTTCGACTGCAACACAAGCGATCATCATCAGGCGTGAAAACCACAGCAAGAAAATTTGAAAAAAGTGGCGGTTATTGTTTACGTTAGCACCACGGAGAGCGATTTGACAGTTTATTCAGATGGACGAGTCAATCTATATTCGGAAAATAGGAGGGGGGAGACGAAAATAATGAATGCGGTCTGAAAGCCACCGTAAGCGTGAACAATCAATTAAGACCCGAAATGGTTTATCAAATCATTGGAAGGATTTGATAAACCATTTCGGGTCTTACTTGATTGTTGACGCTTACGGTGGTTTTCAGACCGCATCGATTATTTTCGTCTCCTCCCTCCTCTTTTCCGAACATAGATGGACTCGTCCATCTGAATAACTGCCAAATCGCTCTCCGTGGTGCTAACGTTAAAAATAACCGCCACTTTTTTCAAATTTTCTTGCTGTGGTTTTCACACCTGATGATGATTGCTTGTGTTGCAGTCGAAACGTCGTGAGAATTTTATTGTTTTATATTTGTATCATTTTATTGTTTCCCTTCTACGTGACTTTACCGAAAGAACCAAGAATATGAATCCCTGCAGTCACGAAAGCTTTAAATCAAAATTTCCCCGCCCACTAGTTTACTATCACATGAAAAGCAATGGCGCACTGCACTCACGTTCCAGAAAAAAAGCTCGTTCGTTAAAAGGAAAGCATATAATCGGCGACGTTTCGGGCAACGGCCCTTCTTCATAACACATTTATAAAAGCCAAATACATTAAGCTAATACGAGTTTTTACACCATGGGGCTTGACGGGAATGACATTTTAAGTGTTCCTGATGAGCAGCTTTTAAATTGCCGTAAGAATACAGCTTCAAATCAAGATTGAATACAGCAGTGTAGTTATCTAAGCCCATAGTTGTTGGTCAACGTTAAGAGCTGGGGTTATGATGAGGCCTATGGTCGGGGAAAGGTCGATAGTGCGGGCTTGGCTCGGGTTGGACAATAAGCTGACAATCCTCCCCATATCTCTTTCTCCGCACGCACGAAAAAAAGTTCAAGCATTTTTACACATCCCATCAGCCGCGCGGCCTTCTGGGACTGCATAGTTGCAGCCAAATTGATTGAACACAAGCAAAACACTGGACCGGTTTCGACACTCCAGTGTCTCATCAGTAGAGTCGGGCTTGCTGGAACCAATCAATGCTGGTGAACTGCCAGACGTTCCGATGGCAAGGATCCTCTCGCTTAGATGTGGGGTCCGAGTTCGACGCAAACCAACAAAACGATTACCGTTGTGATTGTTTCGTATCATATTGACAATTGTGCGCCTAACTTGGACCCGCATCTAACAGAGATGGTCCTTGCCTATAAACAAAGAGCTGGCCATTTGTCAGCCAGTTATATCATAACAATATCTCATGAAAGAGCCTGTTCGGTGATGATAGTGAGAAGCGTAGAGGCTATTAGATGATGATTATACTGCAGTGGGAATAATAGTTATGATGCTGCTCACGATGATTGTGAAAGGCCATGACAGGTTTTTTTTCATGTCAATGAGCATGTATGATGATGATGATGATTATAAGGTGGCGGTGATGATGAAGAAAATAACAATGGACATTGATGATAATGATGTTTGAAATACTGGCGATTCATGATTACGGTTGATGATGCGTTACGATGCCATCAAGGCATCGCTTTTATTTTGTACGACAGTGCCCTCTGCCGAGCCATACGTCAACTACAACTGCAGTTTGAATGTATGCCACTTGTGCCTCTGTGTCTGTATCTTTGTTCCCGTCAGTAGCAGCGTAGGGGCAGGGGTTTCATGGCTCCCCCCTGGTGGCCGAAGCTACGAGTTGAGGCCCCCTTGACAACCACCATGAGGTTTGTTTTCAACAAGAGTGTGCAAAATAAAATATTTTTGCGTAGACGGAGTGCCCCTTATAGCGTTGCATGTTCGAACCCGTAAGCGTAACGATGCGAATTAGGTAAGTGGAGCGGCGAGACACAATAGCTCTGGGTGCGACCGTGCGAGATCAGTCGAATAGTGGGTCCCCTGATCGATTGCCGCACCCCCTGAGCTGAGAATGTCGTTCCACCACTGGTTTCCATATCTCTGGGTCCGTCTCTCCATGTCTCTTTACGTGTATTATTCAAAATCCGTGTCTGTATATCGCTGCGACTCTGTGTCAATGTCTCGTTGCGCTATCACGGGCGTGAAGAAGGCTTGACTTGATTCGGTACAGAAAGATGAGAAGTTGATTGACTGGTAGCCAGAGCTGTCGAGATCGGCCTCTGTGGAGGAGGCTCGTGAAGGACGCTCCTGGGCAGTTGGAGGCAGTCGCCCTCTAACAACAACGGAGGGCAGAGGGGCGACGCTCACAACAACGAGTGGAGCGCCGGGCGGATAAACGCAGCGAGGTGGCGCATAAACGCAGCGAGGTGGCGCAGTGGGAAGCACAGGTAGTGCATCGGCCAGTCATCTCACTCAGTCAACCCATGGCACCTGAGTCTGTGCCATGACCTCCTGCAAGCAGCAAGCCTTCGACACATCACGTGGCCTCAAAGTGCACATAGCCTGGCACAAGCGCCGTGATGACGTCACCGCCACTTGCCGTTGTCTGACTATGTCACTGGCAGCAGCAGCAGCGTTCAATCCACACCGACTTCTAAGAGACCCTTTAAAGGCTGCAACCTCTTTGACCTCAAGCGAGACTGAGCGTGGCTCCGCAAGATCAGAGTTCACGGTCGTGTTGCGTCCGTGAAATACCGCGCGCGTTATAAATTTCATTTCTTTTTGTTTTGCTTTGTTATGAATCGATGTCTGGCTTCTTTTAGCCTCCGGACAGAGCTGGCAAGTCGGCTGATGGATCGCTCCGATGAATCGTAGGCCAGGTGACCGACGCTGGGCTTTCATCGTTTGCTCCACGGTCGCAATTTGGAGAGAGGCGAACATAGATAATTGGGGATACAACTAATTGTGGATAAGAGACGAAAAGCGTTCAAACAAAGAGTACACACACTTTTTGGGGGGGGAGACGGCATGAATATGTAGACCATTCTGCAACGAGTCAGCTTTCACGGCTCATTAGTCGGGGAGTCTGGGTTTAAAACCTTTTACACAATACACACCGTGACAGGGCGGTGATGGCATTAGTGTCCATTTATAGCAGACGAACACTCGACGGCGATGCTCAGCGGCAACAACAACCGCTTACAAATGATTTGTTTACTCAAGAAAAGGCCCTCACCGAGTCAAAACCCGCGTCTCTTTTCGCGTCTGCCGCAGTGCAATTCCCAGCAGAATGCGTTTGCGTTTAGCTGTTGTTATTCGAACAGACCAACTTCGCTAACTTTACTTCGATACGTTCCCACACCGACGCTGCTGACTACCCGCTACTTGGCACCGTTCAGACACGTGGCCGTTAAAGTATAACCAGTGGGCAAAAAAAACCACTCTATAAGCTGCAGAGATGTGTGCTCAGAATGACATCGCGAGGCAGAAAGAGGAATGTGCGGATTCGAGAACGTACTCCGGTTAATGGCATCGATTAAACTTTTAAGAAAAGTAATCGGGGCTTAAGCTGGACACGTCGCTACAAATCATGATGACGATGATGTTGATGATGGTGGTCGCGAATAAACACGGAGTGGCAGCCAGCCAAGGAATGGAACGCATCAGAGGGTGAACGTCCACCGCGGAGATGGAGCGATGAAATCTGTCCCTGAGTCGGTGCTGGGTGGATCATCACATCGCGGGATCGTCGAGAGGTGGCGGCGGCTTGGTAGATGCCTTCATCCAGCTGTGGATTGATCAGGGCTGATGATGATGAACTTTACGGAACAAAATGCATTTAATGTATAACAAAACAATGAAACACACACACGTGGATTTACGGATAAAAAAAACTATCTTAAGCCGCTTTAGCGGCTGTTTGCGCCCTTAATTGGACAAACATGGCTCCGTCAGCGCAGCTATTAGCAAGTTAATCCCAGACCTCGCGGATTAAAGAGATCAAATCTTTTAACCGAGAAAGCATGTCACTTGTTATATGAGTTACCATCATCAGTAGCAGTTGCAGCAGCAAGGATCGGCAGCTTGTAGAGAAGGCATCCTCCAGTAACAGACTTTTGAACATCGACACGATTTCTGTAAAACAAACGACTCCCCATGACGGTGGAGCGGTGGGCAGTGGTTGGCAAACTGTGCTACGAATTTCTTTATTTAGACTGAAGGAATCTGATGAGCTATACAACTCTTTTTTCACAGATGTCCAGTAAGGGCGGGTCAGAAAGTTACCACGTAAGGCCCGCTGAGCTATACAGCTCTTTTCCAGAAGCGACCTGGCCACAAATGATAGCTCAACGAGGTTGCTTATCATCTGGAAATGTATAGCAGCAAAATACTCTAAACGCGTGTTTCTAAATGTGGGGGGGGGGGGAATCGGTATCCAGACATCAGGGTCGGGATCGAACCCACGCCCATTTGTGTACCAGGCGAAGTCGTTACGATCTCACCACCGTACATCAGGGCCTCGACGATGCTGTACAGAGCAGCGTCTGTTTTCAGAGTGGGCGGTGGGGACATGCGAGGGATTCAGAGTGGGGCTGGCCACACATAAGTCACGTGATTTACGGGACGAGGCTTGAGCTGATCTAGAAATGTAGAGTCATGCTGAGCCCAATTGGTCAGCCTTCTTTATTAAATATTACGTGCTTCCGAAAAAATTACAACACTAAATAATGAAGGTAGGTTGCTTTGAATTCACCAAGTTCAGCTTTTGCAAAAGCACCCCAACCTGCTCTCTCGTCTGTCTACCTCTTCATTTCGATCGCCGCCATAAACAAGTGGCGAGATCCT